TTATGGTTGGGTAATTAGATCCCCAACCTCCAATTTTTCACATTCACCCTTCTAACATTCCAAAATATCAAAGTATCTCTCTCTCACCAAAGCTCCCCCTGACTGGACTCCACTCCTCTGCCAGTATTGACAGTTAGATCTGCTCTAACCTTTGTAGTGACGCCGGTTTAATGGCGCATTCAGTTCATTGACAGAGCTTGGGGTTCCCTCCCCCCCCCAACCCTCCACCCCAGTCTCACTCCTCCTCTCCCCCCTCCCACCCCTCCACCCCCTTCACCCTCAGAAACAAAAGGGTGAGGTTGGGGGGGGGGGGCGGAGAATCCTCCAAGTTGTATAGTTTGTACTTTTGATAAAAGGTTTCCGTGATGAGCTTTGGCAGGGGCCCTTCTTTTCTAATGTCTTTTTATCTGTATTAATTCCTCAGATGAAAACTTTAAGGAACAATGAAGGAGAGAGGTAGAGCTCTGAAACGGTGAGAAGAAAAAAATTACACGCACACCTGGGACAGATGAAGCCAAACTAGTGCTTTTATAATGCCAATCAGCAGGGCTGTTATCATCCCTCTAATTAGGAAAGCAGCCTAAAACAGAGAGCACTTGGGGAAATGGTAATGTTATGGTTTTGCACTTAAAAGGAGAGACATTTCCTGCACTGTAAGAATCTGGGATTGGGGCTGACAAGTCCTTTAATTAATGGGCAGGATTCCCTGTGTGTGCAAGTGTGTGTGCATGTTTTAATTCATAAAAGTGGACAAAGGGGGCTCCGAGGAGTGGGTCGGTCGGCAGACTGATGGGGGGAGGGAGGGGGAGTCCATTAGTTGGAAGATGAACTGAGTTCATAGCTACAATCATCTTTTCCTTTTTTTTTTAACCCCCAAAGGGCTGAGGACCAGAACCGGAAGGATCTGGGATTTCAGGGCCCCACCCCTGTCCCCTGACCTGGGAGTTTGAAGGTGGGGTCGAATGGAAACCTAAGGCTTCAAACACCCACAAACTTGGAGGAAACTTCGGTTCAAGTGCCACAGCCCGTGTTCTGGGGTCCCTGTCACCGTCGTGTTTTACATAATAGTTCATCTGCCTGGGGTCTGAACAGTGTCCCCCAGCGATGGGGTGTTAGGCTTCCGGTTCATTTTGCGATGCTAAAGAAATGTGGAGCTCACATCATGGCAGGCAAAAGGTTACTGGTTCTGCCCTTAAGGAGGTGGCCTAGTTGCCCAAGAAATAAAGTTCACACGTGGGGTATTGTGGTTGTTGCTGTTGAGGGTTTTGCAGTTGAGCACTTTAGAACTGACGGCGCTGGTTTCCCAGTCTGTGCAAATGTTTTTTGTTTGGATTCTTGGGGAAATGCCTCCACTCCTTCTAAAAGACATTTTTTTTTCAACTCCTTTCTGTCATTCAGTGACTGTTGGCAAATATTCATATTCCTAAACTTCTGGCCCTGGGAGAGACTAATTTGAGGGGCAGTTGTGCTATGATTTGGTCAGGTCTCACCTAGTATAATGTTTCCATTTATCCAAAATAAATACAAAACGTTCAATACCTCTCTCTGATATGCCAGTGTGATGCCTAAAAATAGCTCTGTGCACTTAAGTGAATCAACTCAAAAGATAAGGAATTTACAAAAGTTGGTGTCTGATTCAACAGATTTATCTGGCATCAAACTGGTGCTTGACATGAATTTCACTATTAAAATGAGTAAGACTCTTAAGCACACAGATTATTCATTTTTCAGTGATCCATATCAATGCCTTTTTAAGGGAAACAGTCTCTTCTTTCCGCAAAGCTCTAAATTTAGAATCCCCAAATTTAACCTGATAAGAACAGAAGAGCTTTACAATAGTGTTTCTTAAATTTTAACATTTTGTAAACAAATTGAAAGGAAAAAATAATTCTTAAGGAGATTAAAGGTGTCAGTTCCCTTTTAGGGCTGAAATGGCAAAAAAATAAAAAAAAGCCACCTAATTCAAAGGAAGGAGAAAGTGAAACCAAATAGTCTAATTTTCAATAGACTATTGAAAGAATAGAATAAACCTAAAAGAATAAACCAAAAAGAGTTACTTTTATAATTTAGCAGAAATTCTTTTCAGTAGAATTTAAAACAAAATAAACATTTTGGGGACTCTTTGGAAGAAAAGTTTTATCATTTAAAAATAAAATCAGTTCCCAAACAAAGTAGTATACATTCGCTGCATCTTTATGTCCTGTGTTCCTCCCACAACTGGGGAAAATGTAATATTTTTAAAGTCCTCTCCCAATTTGCTTAACTGTTAAATGAACACAGCGAACTTTCATTCACTAATGATTTCTCCCTATTCCCTCACTGTTGTCCCTCTCTGGCTAGTATTATTCTTTTAAAGGACAAATATTGCCGTTAGAAGGAAATGGAAATGAGTTTCAATTTAGGCCTAGGGTGGATAATCAAGCTAAAAAGAGAAATGATTATTGTTGAAGGCAATACTTCAGTTTATAAGAAAAAAGAGTGCATGCTTCATTTATTTATTTGGTATAAGTCCAGAAAGCAATTGAATCTCGTTTTGAATTATGCTGGGTAATAAAAATTAAACTTTTGAGTGATGCCGATGTTCTAACTGCTCCCCCT